CTCCTCCTCCTCCTCCTCCTCCTCCTCCTCATCATCATCATCATATTTATTTTCTATTCCTCTCGGGGGTTCAGGGGCCTCTGAGTGACCATTGGCAGCCTGGGTCTCCCAGTTTCAGAGATGCGACCAGCAGCCCTCCTCCTGGTCGAGGAAAAAAAACACGCTTTGCAAAATGCCAACACACAAAACACGGCCAGAGGCTCACCTGGACTTAAGGTGGGATCCTTCGATCTGCTGCAAGATGAAAACAGAACATCAGAAAGTTCGCCGCTTATCCGACAGGGTTATTTTCTATTTTTGAATCATTTCGTTTTTCCGTTTTCCTGCACAGGTAAGTCCTTGACTTACGGCGCTTCGTTCAGCGACCGTTCGAAGTGAGAATGGCACTCAAGAAAGTGATTTATGACCGGTCCTCGCTCTCTTACAACCATCGAAGCGTCCTCACGGTTACGTGATCGGCATTTGCGACCTTCCCAGCTGGATTTTGACAAGCAATGCCCACGGGGAAGCTGGGCTAGCTTAAAAAGGTCATAAAATCGGGTGCAACTCGCTTAACGCCTGCTCTGCTTAACGGCGGAAACTCTGGTCCCATGTGTGGTCTTAAGGCAAGGACTTGCTTGTATATTGCATTGCTGTCACTTCCTTTTCCTCGCCACAACTTCTCTGCAGGGCAGGCTCAGCTAAATGAGGAAAAACTGGCTCTAAAGTCCTCAGGCTGAAGGGGGGGGATTCGAACTCAGGACTCCCCACTCTGTTTCTTGGGCTGAGTTAGAGGGACTAGCTTGAAACCCACCCGTCTTTTTCCCTCCAACCACAACACGACTGGGGCCAATGGACAGGTGTCCTGACCCAAACCCTTTCCCAATAAAACAAACAAGAACCGAAGGGAACAGAAACCTTTTAAGGATTCTTATGAATCCCCGGTTAAAAGGCTGCTGCAAACTAATTAACTTTGGTAAGCACAAGCTTTGCCAAAACTGTGTGAGGCTGCCAAGAATAACATTTAAGAGTCTTCGCAACACAAAAATACCAAATACCAACTTAAGATACTGTAATGTCTACGAGGCTGAGTTTCAAAACGTCTTTGCTTCCTGCAAAGAATGTTCGTTTCACAGCTGGCTTTTAACTGCTTGAAGGAGGGGCCATTACCTTGCAGCCTTACTCCTGAGTCGCCCGTGCTGTTGTAACTGCTCTTTCCTCCGAGCAATCCTGCGTGCACGCGCACTTGGCACAGGCTCCTCGGGAACCTCCTCATCGCTGCTGCCAGCCCTCACAATCTCTGAAGGCAGCAGTCCACTCCCTAATGGTCCTGGCCCCTCACCTGACTCCTCGCTCTCCTCAGCCGTCCACACCTGCTGCCGGCTAACCACGACAATAGGTAGTCCTCGTCTTATGACCACAATCGAGCCCAAAATTTCCGTTTGCTAAGCGAGGCCCCTGTTAAGTGAATTTTGCCCCGTTTTATGGCCTTTCTTCCCACTGTTCTTAAGGGAATCCCAGCAGTTGTTAAATTAACACCCCAGTTATTAATCAATTATTATTATTCGCTCGTCAGAAGGTCGCAAAAGGGAACACTGCGACCGTCGCAAATACAAGCCAGTTGCCAAATGAGTGAATTTGGATCCTGTGACTGTGGGGATGTTGCAACGGTCTTTAAGTGTGAAAAATGATCAAAAGTCCTTCCCCCCACCCCCGTGCCGTTGTAACTTCAATTGGTCACTAAATGAACTGTTGTAAGTGGAGGAACTACCCGTATTATATGCAAGTGTGTGTGTGTGTGTTTTTTCCCCCTCACTTTTCGAGGCTGCTGGACCGGTTAAAAAGATTTGCAGTTGAAGCAGCTTTCTTCTGGAGATGCTGTTTGGTCCTGGCCAGTTTGTCAGAAGAGCTGTTTCTTCGCACCCTGGAAAGGAAAGAAATCCGACATGACGCAAAGGAAGAAGGAAAAAAAGAAAAAGAAAGAAAAAAAGAGTTGGATTTCATGCAAAAGATGAAGGGAAAAAAATTAACAGAAAGGCAAGAGTTGGATTTGAGCGAAAAGAAGGAGATAAAAGAAATACCCTGGGAAGGAAAGACAGATGTAATGCAAAGGAAAAAGGAAAAAATAATTGAAACAAAAAATATTTGGGCTGAATGCAAAGGAAGAAGGAAAAAATAAAATACAAAGAAAAGAGTCAGGTTTGATGGAAAGGAAGAAGGAAAAAGAAATATAATAGAGAAATATACAATATATATATATATATATGGCACTTGTATAATAGAAAGATTCAGGTTTAATGCAAAGGAAGAAGGAAAAAGAAAGATAGTAGCAAGAAAAGGAAAAGATATACGTAAGGGAAATTTAAAAAGGAAAAATAAAATAGGAAGGGAAGGGTTTAATGCAAAGGAAGAAGGAAAAAGAACGGGAATAGAAAGATGGATATAATGCAAAAGAAAGAGGAAAAATTATAATAAAAACATTCAGATTTCATGCAGAGGAAAAAGGAAAAACAATTATAATGGAAAGGACGACATTTCAGGAAATGAATGGTCCTCCAAAGCCCACCCTTGATTTCCCCAGATTGCTGATCTCCCCCCCCCAAAAACCCCAACCCCTGTTAAATCCCAGGAGGGGGGAAAAAAGACCCTGCAAAATCAATTCTCTTTTAATTCCTCCCGTCGGAAACGTCTCCCCTTAAACGTTCAGAAACTCACAACCCCTTTTTGGTGGCCATCACATTGTGAACGACTGGGACAGGGGAAGCCGCAGTGCTGCTGCTGCTGCTCCCTTCGGAGGGGGGCTCTGGGGAGGGGGTTCCCGGCCCTGGAGGAGGACCCCCAAGCCGTGGCTGCCCTGGGCTTGGAGGTTTCTCCTTGGTGGCCTCTGGCGGAGGTTCTCCGACATCTTGAGCTTCCTGGAGACCCGTGCTGGAAGGAAATTGGTTGGCGCTGCGAGCTTCAGGATTCTCCTGGACCGTCTGTAGCTCGGAAGTCGTGTTTTCTGTCTCGGTTAACAACCCAAATGAGTTCTTGGCCACTCTGAAAGGGCCACGACCGCCGAGAACTTCAGCCAAGTCCAACTCGCCAACGTTTGAAGAGTCCTGAAAGGACTTTCCCCTCGTGGATGAGGTCTCCTCCGCCTGTTGAAGACCTCCATTGCTCAGAAATGTTTCTCTGTCTTTCCCCAGCACCGTAAGGTCCTCTGTTTGTGTCCCAACGCTGATCCTTGACCTCTGGATCTCCTCTGCTTCCAAGGCCCATTCTTTGGGGTGTCCTAAATTGGGGGTGAGGGTTGAACTATAAACAGAAAAGAGGACATTCATTCACTTGGGCTCATCGCGAGACAACACAGTATCAACAGTGGAGACCTTCAAATGTGTAGGGTCTGTCGTACCACAAGACCTAAAATGGACACCTAACATCAAAAAACGTCATCAAAAAAGCACAACAAAGAATGTTCTTCCTGCGCCAACTCAGGAAGCTCAAACTGCCCAAGGAGCTGCTGATCCAGTTCTACAGAGGAATGATGGAGTCTGTCATCTGCACCTCTATAACTGTCTGGTTTGGCTCTGCAACCCAAAAGGACAGACACTTCTAAAAAAGTACCGTTGTAACTTTGAATGGTCACTAAATGAGTGTTGCTGTAAGTCAAGAATTACCTGTATATTATACATCTATGGCGGGAAAGTACCTGGAATATTTGGAGGCAACGGGAGGGAGGATCCATTGGGCATCGTTGCTTCTGGGAAGTACATCAGCTTCTTTGGCATCTGCTGAACAGGAAAATATATATACTTCAACTCCCAGAATTCCCAAGCCTGCAGACTTGTGGACTTCCCAGAATCCCTCAGCCAGAAATGTATGGACTTCAACTCCCAGAATTCCCCAGCCTGCAACTTTGAGACTTGTAGATTTCAACTCCCAGCTGGCTGAGGAATTCTGGGAGTTGAAGTCCACAATCTTAAAAGTGCCCAAGTTTGGAGATCCCTGGCTCTACAACAGGGGTGTCCAACCTTGGCAACTTTAAGACTTGTGGACTTCAACTC